GACGTGTGCTCTTCCGATCTCTAAGTAGGTATAAGTAAGGCAGATGGGAATCAGCGTGGTTGTTGGTACGCACTAATTTATTTCTAAGAATTTTATACATTATTCAAAGTCAAACGTTTCGGCTATTTTTTACCCATCTTCAGTGACGTATAACAATTAATTTACAATATAATTTCGCTTTTTAGTTTTCTAACGCGTGTGTTCTTCAACGTCCCTTGGATGAGGAAGTAATTTAAGGTACCTTCCATAGCTTTCAATGCAGTTGAAGTGCTGCATGTTTGAGCTGTGTGTCCCCAATTAAAGTCAATGTAAAAAATGAGAATTTTGATTTAAAGTATTGTGCTGAAAGTTCACTCACCTCAAACGTATTAAAACACACTTTTCAATTCCTAGTGACGATACAATTGATAAATAACGGAACATGTGCACTGTGTCAAAAATAAATAGGTAAAAAGTAAAGATATAAGACTTAGTCAAAATTTAAAATGAGAAAAAAATAAAACTGTCAACTCAACTGCATTGAAAGCTATGGAAGGTACCTCAAATTATACTTCCTCACCCAAGAGACGTTGAAGAACACACGCGTTAGGAAACTAAAAAGCGAAATTATATTGTAAATTAATTGTTATACATCACTGAAGATGGCTAAAAAATAGCCGAAACGTTTGACTTTGAATAATGTAAAATTCTTAGAAATAAATTAGTGCGTACCAACAACCACGCTGATTCCCTGCCTTACTTATATCTACTTAGTTTAAATTGGGGAATCTCGATATATTATTTTATTGTTTATTTTTAGAATCGCGTATAGATTGGGGTACGTTCGAATTCTCACTCGAGTGCTGCTCAGACATCATTTTGTTCAGGTATTTTTGTTATTCAACAACGTTAAACAAGAATAAATTAATAGCTTCGTGGAATTTAGATAGGAATCTGAATGCTCCGTGGATGAGAATTGATTGAGACTCAATCAGAGTTCTTCATATATATATATTTATATATTATACATCTATAATATATATACAGGGTGTCTCGTA